TGTGTGTGTGTGTGTGTGTGTGTGTGTGTGTGTGTGTGTGTGTGTGTTTGCATGTGAATGACCCTGTTCATTCAAAGAAAACCCATTTGTTGCTTTGTGCCTACCTTTGCCTTCGTGTAAAGTTTTGCTGAAAGGTTTCAGTTGCTTTTCATAGAGGATTGCAGTCTGGGTGTATTGGTGTCGTAAAGCAGTCCACGTCTGTTCTAACCTCGTAATCTGTGAGGAAAGATGTCACAGTAACTCTTGGGAAAGTCATGGTCATGTCATTTGGAAATAAACCCTGAGGTTCCCACACAAGTTGGACCAGGCCTAGGCAATTTAACTGCTCCTTCATGAAACATTTTTTTCTTCAAGACCTCTATGGAGGGAGAACCCACTACCTTCTCAGGCAGCGCATTCCAGTTTTTGGATAGCTCCAGTTATTTGAAGGTGTGTTGTTTTTTGTTTTTTTTTTTTTATTTCCTGTCATCAAGCCTAAATTTTCTTTATTGCACCTTTTACTCATTGCTAATAGTTAAGCTCTCTGGGACCAGTCAAAACAAACATAATCCCTTTTCTGCATTACAGCCTTCCAAGTACTTGAAGATGGGCTATACCCAGAAACCATGATGTAAAATCAGAAGGTATCAATCAATACTTTCTTTTTAATATGTTAAGAGCTGAACATAGTATTCCAGATATGATATGATCAGGACCAAGGACAGAGACATCACTATCTACCCCACTATCCAAGGGGAAGGGGGGAGAGACCAACATGTGATTACAGGTACATTTCACTCTGATGCCAATGGTGGCCCAGGCTAATTTCTCTCACACCACCCTCTAAACTTTTCTTCCTTCCTGCTCACACCCTCCCTTCTAAACCAGAGGTTTATTCACTCTTTTCAACCTAAAGTTTTGTCTTTCTATCTCTGCTGTCTCATGCCTTCTCATTTGTCACTACCCTGCCCTAAGAGTTCATGCTCCAATGGAACCAGATATATGTATAGGTTTGGCCAACATCGTGTGTGTGTGTGTGTGTGTGTGTGTGTATGTAGTGTGTACACACGCACACACACACACACAAGCGCAAGTCTGATGCCTTCAGTTGTTACAGAGCCTATTCCCTGCTCCAATTCTGTTATATTTACTTGTCTTTGTAATCGTTATAGTTCTCTGGGTGAGAGTATGTAAGGATTGTTTTGTTTTTCTATCTCCAGAATACAACAGAAAGTTTAATAAATGTTTGTTGAAGTTTGTTGATGGAACAGAAATCAGTTGTACTTTGCCAGCTTTGACCTGGAATCCCCAGGTTTTAAAGTATGTCCATTTTATTCCCAGCAACCCTCACCATTTAAAATCTAACCTCTGCAACTCAGGGGTTAGAAATGTGTCACACTATTGCCAACTTCTTGTGCTGAGAATGAGGAGACCACCTTTAGGGAAGAATAACTGGGGTCATGCCACTTCCACCGACGTAGGGAACTTCCTGCCTATGTAATAAACTAGGGATGTCTGGTAAGTCCCTAACATTTCAAGGATGATATCACAGAGGGTTAATAACCCAGCCCTTTCTTTCACAAAAATCTCACACCACACACACACACACACGCACACACACACACACACACACACACACACACACGCACACACACGCACGCACAAAATCCCCAAGTATGTTGTCAGGAAAGTATTGGGTGTGACCCAGTGGGGTATTTCTCATGTTGGTTCTCCCCCTTGGCTCCTGGAAGGTTTTCTTTAGATATGTAATTCTGGAAGTGCATCATAGTAGATAGCAACCCAATCAAGGGAGGAATGTATATAATGTTAATTCAACCCAAATAAATAATTCTGATAGGATCACAAGATTTCTAGCTAGAAGAAATATCATTTAGTTCAACTCTCTCCTTTGGAAAGCAATGGGAACCAGGTAGCAGGGAGAAGAATATGGGGATTGCTCCCTAAATCTCTGTTGCATTATTATCTTCAGATTGTTGAAACTCTTATCCTCTTATTATATGATGACAGACTTAGTTTAAAAAAAAAATAGGGAAGGCAGAACAACACAAGAGGAGAAGTGGGTTACCTAAATTCACAAAGGTAGTGATTATCACATTGAAAATAGATTTGGAGTTATAGGGAACTTCTAGTCCAGCTTCCTATTTTTTTTTTTTACCCTTAGGTAGGAAGGGGGCCAAATCTGTGATTTTATTAGTGAGGAAACTCCCACTACCGATGCAGCTGTGCTCAGTAATTGTTAGATAATTTATAGTCTTAGAGAATTGCTTAACTAGCACGTGTTAGCAGCAGAATTTAAACCCATATCTTGCTGACTCCAAGTCCTAAGCCAGCTCTCCATTTCCTCCTATACCATGCTGCCTCTCCTCATCTTACACATGAGGAAACTGAGGTCCAGAGAGGAGAAATGCTTCCTCCAGACACCAGCACGACTCCAAAGTCAATGCTCTTCTCACCATACCACACCACCAATGCAAGTTACCCAGAGAGGACATAATATAAAAAAAATGCAGCTTTAAAAAAAATAGGAAATACATTTTAATTGATTTTCCAGAAGCAGCAATGTATTTTGATTTAGTCAGGTAGTTAACAGGCCCCAATGTAATTCTTGGGATGGGGGTGGGGGAGTGGCAAGAAACAACTTTGGCTTCATTAAGTGTGATTGCTCCAATCAATTGAGCTAGTTATAGAGGCCTCACTGGCAGAATGACTTAGATCTGATACTGTCCTCAGTGTAAGGAAAAGTTGACAAGACAGGAATTCCAAAGATGGGTTGACTGGCATTTGACACATGTCTATTCCCTTCTTGATACTTTTTCCACATGACATTGCATTCTCAGGTTCTCTTCCTGTCTTCCTTACTATTTTTTGGTTTCATAGGATTCCAGAACTAAAGGAGACCTCAGAGACCACTTAGTTCAACTTCATCATTTATAGACAAAGAAACTGGGGCCCAGCAAAATTAACTGACTTGTTCAGTCAAAGTCATACAGCTTTTAAGTGTCCAAGCTTGGACTTAACCCCAAATCTCTCTCTGTTCTTCCCGTTACATCACTCTGCCTGCTTTGCCAGCACCTTTACCTTCCTCCTTTAAACATCCTGTGTCCTGGGCCCAACCTGGGTCCTCTTGGTTATCTCCCATAGCTTTAGTCATTGCCTCTTGGAAAGTACTTCATTGACCTATATCTTTTTACATGCCCAACCTCTACAGTCCCACATCTCAGACTGTGCTGGCCCTCTCCTCTAATTGGACATCCAGTTAGCAACTCAAAACTAATAGTTCCAAAACTGACCTCATTTCTCCCTAACCTACCTAGTTCTTCTATTGATGGCACCACCACCACGCTTGCTGGAATAAAAATTTGGAGTCACCTTTGGCTCTTCCCTAATTCTTTACTCACCATGTCACAAGTCTTGTTGCATCTACTTCCAAAAACACATCCCTCCCTTTCCTGTCCACTGCAACCGTCCTCATAAAGGCCCTCATCTTTTGTCACCTCTGCTACAACTAGCCTCCTAATTGGTCTTTCCTTCCTTTAGTCTATCTTTCCACCCATCCATTTGCCACATTACTACTGAGAATCCTCATAGGGCACCAATGTGGTTATTTCCTTATTCTATTAAAAAGCAAATTTCAGTGGCTCCCCAATATCGAATACAGTATAAACTTCTGATTCTCGAATTCACACTCTAACTCCAGCATAAGTGCCTTGCAAACAGCAGGTGTTTAATAAATATTACTGAATTTTATTCATGTATTCTCTTCTCAGTCCTGCCATTCCCTCTTCTTCCATCCCCATTCTCATCCCACCCTATCCTATCTCCCTGCTTTTATTCATGCTGTCTTCCATATTTGGAATGGATTCCCCACTCCTATACTCAATTCTTTTTTTAAGTTCCTCCATTATTTCAGGAAACAACTCAAGATCCATCTCTTTTACTAAGCCTTCCCTGATTCTCCAGTACCTATCCCCAGTTGCAAAGGATGTCTTCCCCTCAGAGCTGGTAAGGTCACATCTCCCACGTCCCTTATGCCTACAGTGTCTAATGAAGAGTAGATGGTAAATAAATATAGAATTGAATTGGTAAAGGTTCTCATGCATTAGACATGTCATAAAAGTTTATAAGTTCCAAATGAGATGCCTTCAGCAGGTTATTTATGTAATCCACTGTCCCTTGGACATGTTTCCCTGTGTTCTAGGCTTCATAGAGTTAAAAAACTACACTGTCAACACATGCAAAGATCCAGACAGAAATATGTTGTTTCTGGCAAAAACAAGCTACCGCATGGCATACCATCCTAATTGGTTTCTCACAAAAAACATTGATTTTTTTTTCCTTTTGGATGACACTCCTCATTGTACATCAGAGGCACTTGCTGACTGTCAGCAATTATCCACTGTTTTAAAAACAGAAAGTACTTTGCACAATACTTTCAGCTGCCCTTGTAATCAAAGGCAGCTTTTATCATGGTTCAATTCAGTTTACTTATTGAATAAAACAGTTAAGAGATTTGCCTGGCTGACAAACCTGTTAAAGAACATTATCTCCACCTATGAGGCCACAGAAGGCAAAACGATCACTTACTTGTGGCATTTCCAAGGCTTTCATGATGGCAGAGAAGGCATACAGGTCTCCCATGGAGTCCTTCAGTTCCACAGCTACCTGAATGATCTTATGGACTGTTGCTGCTCTCTCCTCCAAACTACCTGTGCAGCCCAGGATATCCACTGCTATGCCTATGGCCATCGTGTTGTGTCTGGAAGGGAGAAGGCTTGAAGTCACTCTGGTGGTGGGGTCAACTTGAGTATGGTGACGCCAAGGGCAAACCCATCCCATGAATGTCAAGGACAGCACCGCTGTATTGCTCAAAACTGTTCTCAAGGGTGAAGCACAGTGGCCCAAGAGTCGGGAGACCCAGGCTTCAAGCACTTGGTAGGTAGCTGGGTAGACCATAGACAAGTCATTTAATCTCCCTGAGCCTCAGTTTCCTCATTTGTAAATTGGAGATAGAATTCATTCACTTAACAGGTATTTTAAACATCCACCTTGTACAAGGTATTTAGGGATACAAAGACAAAAAAACAAAGCGGTACCTGCTTGAACTGAATTTGAATATGATCTCACACACTCACTAGCTGTGTGACCCTGGGCAAGTCATTTAACCTGTTTGCCTGACTTTCCTCCTCTGTAAAATGGGAATAATAATAGCACCAACCTCCCAAAATTGTTGATGAGATAATAATTATAAAGTGCTTAGCAAAGTGCCTGGCACATAGTAAATGCTATATATTCTCATATATATATATGTATGTATACACACATATGCCAGCTATTATCATTATTATCAAGGAGCTTATATTATGTTGGAGAAAAATGGCATGTATACAAAATGGCAAAATAATCTTACATAAGGGCTTGGCAAACTTTAAAGCACTTTAAAAAACAAGGAGTTATTATTCCTCAAATATTCAAATCAGTCTGAGGGGTAATTGAGGTAATCCCTTCAGCAATGTGGACTGAAGCCCATCTTGTTGGGAGTCCAGCCCTGCCTATGTTCTCTCCTTATTTCACAATGGGGGTGAGGAGGGGAACTTGAGGCAACTTGCTGGGGAGACTTTGACTTCCTCACTTTCTCTGAACACCCCAAGGACTCCACTGGAGCACAAGGGCTACCCATCGGTTCTCCTTCCCTCTTGTCCGGTGACCAGTTCATCTTTTCTGAATGCACATGTCTTTGATAACGTCCTTTACACCAGTTCTTCCAAGTTCTTTACTTGTTACGTGTCACAGCCTCTTCAGATCGAACAAATGCCTTCTACACTGCCATCTTGAGTGATGGGCATTTTTAATTCTTCAGAGACTATTGTTCCATGACTCAGAGATAGACAACATCAGTAGAATGTTGAAATTTAAAAGACGGGGCTTTGTTCCAAGGGAAAAGTCCCTTCTAAATTTGATTGCACTTATTTCCTCTCATTCCCTAAATTTCTAGTGTTCACATTGTCAGGCGTTTAATATGACTTAAGTGCATGCTTCAACAATTCAACATTTATTAAGCACCTACTGTGTTCCAAGCAATGTTGTGCTGGGGATACATGAAAAATGGGGAACCTGAAAGAATGCACCATAAGAAGGTAATATAACACATACCTAATTATGATAAAGGCTGTAACAAGGGAAAAGACAAGATCCAAAGGGCTGTTGAGGAAATTTTAGGAAGGAAAGCTCACATGTAGCTTAGGGGGATGGAGCAGGGCTCTTCAAGGAGAAGAAGGATTTCAAAAAGAGGAACACATTCCAATCACAAGGGACAGCCTTTGTGAAAGTAAAGAGAAGGCAGAGGAACTTGGGAACTTCCAACACCACAGAAGATGGAATGTTCTGTTGGACTGGGGCATAGATCCCTGTAGAGGACTTCCTGCTTCTTACAAATAATGCTTTAGATGGAAACAGGAACTCATGAGCTTAACCCAGAGGGACTTGCTATCACCTGCTTCTCCATTTACTCCACAAAACTTCACTCCTTTCATAGCAAATCAATGGTTCAGAACAAAATGAGATTGTGCTTTCCCTAACAGACTTTTTCTATCTTTGCTCACAAACTCCCACCATTTTTTCTTCAATCTATTCGCCTTTCAAATGGACAAAGGCCTTTAAGATGAAAAAGAGGCCAGGGTTTAAGAGGTATGAAGAACTAGGAACTCTCTGTCTACACTGTGTTTGGAACACCCCCAGACTCTTCACCAGGGCCATGATTACTGACTCCTGCGTTGATGGACCAGCCGTGCCACCAGCTGCGTACAAAGAGTTCTTTTCTCCCTCAATCTCCCCCTACAGCAGTGACATAAACACAGCTATGATCTCTGAGACTTCCTCTTCAGATTATCTTTGTTGATGTCCAGGAAGTATCTTCTTGCAGATGTCTTCAGAGGAAAAACCTAGCTTTACAGCAGCATGCCAAAGACTGGCATCTCTCTCAAGGCAGACAACTATTAAGCACCTCTTTTGTTTCAAGCAATGCTGTTCCCATTGTGTTGGGGACTCACGATAGATTTATCCATTTTTTTTCTTTCTAAATGTGGTTTCCTGATAAATAAGAGGGGCAGCGTCCTCTTCTACCTGCCTGCCAGGCAAGAGTCAGCAGACTGAAATGAAAAGTGACCAGGAATGTTTACCTTTCAATGATGTCCAGGCGCAGTTGGTGTCCATAAGGCAAGGTAATGAGCTCCAGACCTGAGTTTACTCCCATGATCCTCCTCATCTCTTCAGAGACCTCTAGTATCCTAGCAACCTGTCAAGTAGAAAAACTTAAATATATTAATTTGGGAAGTTGGCTTGACATGACCCTGATCTAATGTGTAGAAAGAGCTACAGAAAAAAACAGGCACACTCAAAAGTATTCTAAGAGTACCCTTATCTAAAAACATATGTGTGTTATACAATGATGTTAACACTAGAAAGTGAAACACTAGGAGAAAACAGGGCAAAAGGGATTGAGTTGTTTGGTCTCCAGAGTTGGCAAGAATGTCCAAAGAAACATTTGAGTAATTTGAGCTCACGTCAAAAGTATCCTAGAGACCTGTTGTAATACTTTACTACCAGTGCCAGATGCGTGTGTGTGTGTGTGTTTGTGTGTGTGTGTGTGTGTGTGTGTGTATTAGACTCCATCAATTTATTGAAAGAATGAGATGGGAATTCCCAAGTTTTCCTTTCCCATAACCTTTGCTATTCCAATTCTCACAAATATGCTGATTATGTCTTAACGATGCTTCTCTTGCAATGAGTAGCTAGCCCCTTTAAATCTGGAAACGATTTGTGCTTTGACACTGGAGGCTTGAGGACCAGGTTTGAAATATGAGTTTCAAGCATCCTAGCATCTTAAATGTAGAGCTGAATGGGACCTTAGAGGTCATCTAATCAAAGACATGTTTGTCCTCTTGCTGAGATTTTTACTTATGGGAATGCTGGTTCTCTGTAACTTTTAAGGAGAGGGGCTAGCCAGCTCTACTTCATGCCTGTATCTTGGGTGTGAAGCCATGAGACCCACCACAATACAATGAAGAAGACAGAGGTATCAGCTACACACTTGTAATTACTATGGAAAGAAATCATAATCAAACAGGATGCTGGAGTCTACCTCTTTACTTTTTTAGCCAAATTCTAGATGCCTCTTCAGGACACATAAGCTGCAAAACAAACATCTGGGAGCTTGGCCTCTGTTATTAACCTTGACCTTTGGTTTAGCAAAGGAACCACTGGGGGTTCTAGAAAATAAATACGCGGAAATTCAGTGACAAGTCCAGGCACAGAAATAATGAGTTCACCTATATGGCCTTCTACTTTTGGGTGCTCTGGGCATCATATCCCCCAGGCGCCATAGTGCATAGAGCATTGGGCTTGGAATCAGGAAGACTCACTCATCTTCATGAGTTCAAATATAGCCTCAGACACTAGGTGTATGACCCTGGGCAAATCACTTAACCCTGTTTGCCTCAGTTTCTTCATCTGTAAAATGAGCTGGAAAATGAAATGGCAAAATACTCCAGTAGCTCTGCCAAGAAAAACCCAAATGGGGTTATGAAGAATCAGACATGACTGAACAACAACAATCTTCCCCCATATACAAAATAAGACCAATTCTCAAAGACTACTAAACCTCTGTCTTTCAGAATTCCTAGTTTCATTCAGAGCTCAGGTCAAGAGCCCCTTACATGGGGTCTTTCCTGATTCATCCTGATTAGTACTTCTTCCTACCAGCTACCCCACCTTGAAATTACCTTATTTTCCCTCACTAGAATATAAACTCTTTGAGGGCAGGGACTATTTTATTTGTATCCCTATCACCTAGCACAGTGCTTGGCACACAGTAGGCACTTAATAAATGCTTGCTGATGAATTGGCAACTATGGAGGAGATAACTGTCTTGATGACAATAGTCAGCATAGTGTGGTTGTCCATTGGGAATTGTTATATGCACAGGAGAAAGAATCCTGGCACAATTCACAAGATCAAATTTACACCTTTGGCCATGGGAGGAAGGTATCTGCCTAGGCATTTGTCATAGCCTATTTGCATCAGAGCTGTTGGCAGCAACTCGGATTTCCCCATGTGTTTCAGAAGCTTAAATCTGTTGTGTCAGTAAAGCCCAATATCTTTATGTGATTTCCTTTAGTTATCATGAACTATTGTAGTCAGAAGAAAAAGTTGTTGGTAAGTTTTAAGTTAAAAGAAAAATCACAATTTAATGTATTCACAAGTAAAGAACCTCTATTTCCAGTGAAAAGACTAAGTAATAATTATAGCTGACAGTTAGAGGCACTTTAAGGTTCACAAAATGCTTTACATCCATTATTGTCTTTGGGCCTCATTGGTACTACTGGATCAAACCCATTTTAGAGAAAAGGAAGCTGAGCCTCGGCAATATGGAAGTGGTTTGCCTTTGTTCACATAGCTAATATCCATGGAGGGATTTGAACCTGACATTGTCTTCTTGACTGCAAGTCAAAAACTACGTAACAGACTTGATGTCCCCTTGTCCTTTTCCTAAATGTTAAAGTTTCTGACTGGTCAACACCTGGCAGCTGACTTTGAGAAAGTAAGGTTGAAGGGCACTAAGAACACCAAAGTCTCCACTTGATTCAGTTCACATAAGCACTTAGTAAAAACCTATTCTGTGCCAGGCTATGAAAATACAAAAACCAAAGTGAAACTTTAATCCTTATATCTTTAGTCCAGGAACTAGGAGCAGTTTAAGGCTGCTGTACTCATAGCTCTATGTCTCTGGATTCATATTTGCAACACCATTGACCAAGAACCATGTGTCTGCAGTATAGCTTCTGAACATCTGTTTATTGTAATGGGGGACCTGGGGTTAAATGCTAGACTCTGCTACTGCTGTGCTAATTATTTAACACCTCTGAGCCTCAGTTTCCTCATCTGTTAAGTAAGGAGGTCAGCTTATGTTGCACAGCTGAGGAAGTTCCTTCCAACTCTAAGTATATGACTATTCTGATTTAAAAGAAAAAATCAGAGATACTGAAAGGGTCCCAGGGTCCCAGTGGCTCTGGGGATCACTGATCTGATTATAGCAGGAACTTGGCTGGGAGTCAGGGACCCTAAATGAGGAGTGACCTTGGGTCTCAGCTGACCTCTGACCATTTCTTCAATTAACCCACTTACAAAGTAAAGATCAATATATCTGTGAGGCCCTGAGCCATATAAACCAAGTAAAAAGCATCCCTGAAATAGTAGAACAGTAAAGTCCGACGTGCTATTCAAAGCCTGGGAAGTGGTGTTTCTCCCTTGGGGAGAGAAGTGGTAGATGATCATAGGGCAGTGTCCTTAAAGTTCCTCAAATCCAACCTATCTGAAGGTGGGAAGGGGCAAAGGGAAAATGCAGAGCAAACAAGGAGGCTACAGAGCCCTCCAATTATGAAGTGCATTTGAGAGAAGTTTCAGGCACTTGAGAAATCACTGCTGTTCCCTTTGAAAAACTAATTATACTTTCTGGCGTCAGCACTGGAAAAATAACACTTAAATACTTCAATGGCACTTTTCAAACATTAATTACCACCTCCTCCCCACAACTGGAAAATTGTTTTTGTTTTGTTTCCTACATCTTGTTGAAGAAATGGGTAAAAGGATGTTTATAGGAGAGAAAGGGCAGTTATGTATAGGGGTGGGAAGAAAATTTTTCATAGGTTCTGTCCACCCCGCCACTAACCTCCCTTTCCCTAAACACTCTCACCACACTTTATTTTCACAGTATCCCCAAACACTGTAACAACAATAAAACAGTTCATTTTTTTAAAATGTCATACTTTATAAAGCTATAATATTTAAACTATATATCATATATAAATGTTATTTATATATAACTCTACATGTAATTATATACATATGTATGCACACATATAAAACATATAGTTAAAAGGACCTGTTAATGTCCATTTAACCAGCATAAAGGCAAGATCATAGGCTGGTAAACTGCCTTGAAGGTAAGAGATTAGTTCACTTTTCGTCAGTGTGTCTCCAATCTAGAATATTGCCTGACAAACACAAAACACTACATAAATGCTTGACAATCAGTAAACATTTATTAAGCACCTACTATGTGCCAGGCACTGTGCTAAGTACTAGGGATACAAAAAGAGGCAAAAGACAATCCTTGACCACAAGGATCTCACAACCCCATGGGGAAGACAACAAGCAAACAGGTGTACAAACTATATGCAGGACAAACAGGAAATAACAGAGCAAGCACTAGAATTAAGAGAGGTTGGGCTTCCTGTCAATGATGGGATTTTAGTTGGGGCCTGAAGGAAGCCAGGGAAGGCAGTAGGCAAAGATGAGAAGGAAGAGCATTGAAGGCATGGGGGACAGCCAGAAAAAAATGCCTGGAGTCAAAAGACGGAGAGCCTTGTACTTGGAATAGTCAAGAGACCAGTGTCACTGGATCAAAGAGTATGTAGTAGGGAATAAGGTGTAAGGAGGCTAGAAAAGTAAGAGGGGGCTAGGTTATGAAGGGCTTTGAATGCAAAATAAAGGATTTTATATTTGATCTTGGAAGTCATTGGAATTTACTGAGTGGAGGTGACGTGGTCAGAGTTTAGTCACTTTGGTGAGTAAATGGAGGATAGATTTGAGTGGGGAGAGACTTGAGGCAGGCAGAACCACCAGCAGACTATTGCAATAGTCCAAGCATGAAGTTTTGAGAGCTTGGCACTTGGCAGTATCAGAAGACAGAAGAGTATGCTTTTGAGAGATAATGCAAAGGTGAAATCGACAGGCTTTGACAGATTGGATATGGAGGGGTGAGAGATCATGTAAAGTCAAGGAAGAAACCTAGGCTGAAAGCCAAGGAGAATGGAGGATGGTGGTACCCTTGGCAGTAATATGGAAGTTTGCAGGTTAGGGGGGAAGACTTATGGAGAAAGATAATGAATGCTTTCTGTTTGGGGAATGTTGAGCTTAAGGTTCCTACTGGACATCCAGTTCAAGATATTTGAAAGGCAATTAGAGATGTGAGTTTGGAGATCAGCAGAAATGTTGGGACTGGATAGGCAGACTTCAGAATCATCAGCATAGAGATGGTAATTAAATCCATGGGGAGCTGATGAGCTCACCAAATGAAGTAGACTAGAGGGAGAAGAGAAGGGGGCCCAGGACCAAACCCTGAGGGACACCTATATTGAGAGGGTGTGATCTGGATGAAGAATCTTTTCCCTCCTCTACTCTGGCTTACAAAATCCATTCTTTCAACATTCAGATTACACACTGTCTTCTACTTGAGAAGCCTTTTCTAATTCCCACCACCTGGCCCCCAGTCTTCTGTATATACTGAGAGATCACACTGTCTCCAACAAAATATAATCTATTTGAGAACAGGAGCTGCCATTTTGTGATTTGTATCCCAAAGGCCTGGGATAATAGGTGCACATATGTAGGTGCTCATTGACTGGTTGGTTGATTATTTTGTACTCCAATTAAACTCTTTCCCAGTCTCATCCTGCCCTCTCCTCCTTTCCACCCCGCCATTAATCATTGACATTCTTTTCTGATCTTCAAGAACCAGTTCTGGTGCTTTCTTCATGAAGCCTTTTCTAATCCTTTACAGTAACAAGTGACTTCTCTCTCTGAACCTTTTGGACAATCTGACTTTTCCTATATATTTAAAAACATCCTATTTTGTATTAGAGTTATACATATACATATAGATGCCTTATTGCCTTAACTTAAAAGTAAGTTTCATTGAAACTATACTGTTGGATAATGAAATTTGGGACCAGAAGATTGAAAATCTAAATACTCTAATAGCTCTAACTGGTGGAAGTTTCAGAGAGGCATATATATTTAAGCTTCACATAAGGAAAAAATTGCTGACAGAGCTACCCAAAATTGGAATGGCCTGCCTTGGGAGACAATAGGTTCCACCTGACAAGAGGTCTTTAAGTGAAGCCTGGATGATGGATTATCAAACAATCTATGGAGAGGTTGTTTCTCTCTATGGTCATTATCATTCATTCTCTCTGCTTAATGGTCATTAATGTGTCTCCACTGTGCAAATAATGGAATTTATGTCTTTTGTTTGTAAAGCCCTTACCTCTCAAGAGGTAGCAGAGCTTCTTAAGCTTCCTGGCTTAGGCAAGAGCTTAGCATTCAGGTTCAGAGGCCCTGGGTTTAAGTCAACCCTCTGCCACTTACTACCAGTGCAACTATAGGCAAGTCACGCAACTTCTTCTTTGGACTCCGTTTCCTCATCTTCAAAATGAGAGGTTGAAGTAGAAGACCCCGTGGTCTCTTCTGGCTACGAGAATATGAGAATGAATAGAACATTCTCCCCTTCACTTTTCTCACTGCTCTGATAACAGAAAAGGAAAGGACAAGCTCTGTGAGGGGCACCATGTGCTCCCCAGTACAGAACACGTGGAAGCCAGATGTTCCCAGGGCTCACCTTGCCACTTTGGCTGCTTTCTGCTCTGCCTCCGTCCTCTTTCTGAAATCCTGCTTTTTTTTGTTTTGAGGGAAGGGGAGGAGGGAAAGAAAAAGCAATCTTCCATTTCAAAGGAAATTTCTAACATAAGGGCAAGGGGAATTAATAGTGAATTGTGGTCACACCATAGATCAGCCAGGGAAGAGAGGCAGAGACCCCTGTGCCTGACCTTACTACATGTCTAGAGAATGAATGAGCTCCCTGGCAACTTCAAATGGGAGGATGGGAGAATCGACCCTGCCTCCCAGATTTCTGTGACATCCCATGAGAAGGAATGACTTAGAACCAAGCCTGGCTCTGCATCAGCCAGGAATAGAGACCACGGTAACCGTGGTCACCACCCCATCTGTAACCCTCACCACCATCCCGTCAGGCTGCTGGGGCGCCCAGAAAGCGATGCACAGATTAGATATGATACTTCCCTAGGTGTTCCATACACAGATGGGTGTATGGCAGATATGATGCTGCTGAGAGGTACGGCCAGGAGGACTAAACGTACCACAAAAAGGATATGGAGGTTTGCTAATTGTCACAATTGAGAAATAATCTAGCCCCAGCAACAGTGAGATGATTTCACAGCTGCTGCAAGCCAGCAAGATGCTTTCAGTCTTTCCTATCTCTAACTCTTCAGCATGTCAGATAAGGTGGCAATGGTGTTACACTTCACAGGAAATCTAACCTGCTGACAGTCCCCTGAAGAAGGAATTGTCCTTCTTTCCTACAGCTCATACAGGGACGTTGTAAACTACACGAGAAACCTTAGATGCCTGGGAACACATTATAGTCTTGATCCTGAAGTAGATACAATGCCATACATGAGATGTCATCCAATATGAAAAACTCAAGATAATGACGACACCAACAATATAACAACAACAATAACAGTAATAGACATTTATATAGTACTTTAAAATTGACAAAGCACTTTCCCCCTAACTAGTGGTGAGTCCCATCAAGCCTTCTAATGGTCCAATCAGAATTTTACTCACATTCAAATGACTTGGGCAAATGCCCAAATTGAACACCAGTAATAACCACTAGTGTTAATCCAAGTCTATACAACAAATCATATGGGGGGAGGGGGAATCTCATTTTTAGGTCTAAAGTGTTGAATTCGGAGTCCAAGTTCAAATCTTGCTCCTGAAGCAACTTGTTAGCTGTGTGACCATGGGTAAGTCATTTAAGCCTGAGCCTCATCTGAATGATACCTGTGATTACTGCTTCGAAAGGTTAGTGTGGACCTCCGCTTTGCAAACTCTAATGTGCTGCATTATGTCAGTTACTATTATTATTTAATCGCCACCTCAGCCCTCTCTTCTCACAGTTGGATCACAGAGAGTAAGCATCTATCATTCGCTAGTGACATAGGCAACCTCACAGGCTTGAGCAAAAACAAAACATAAACACAAAAAAACAGAAGCCCAAAAGATGGAGACAATGGCTTCCATGCTAGGAATTCCATTCTGTTCCCAAATCAGCATCCTTGCTCAGGATCCTAGTACCAGTTTTAATTGGCAGAGTATATGCCTATAAAAAAAACAAAACAACCAAAACAAAAATAGTAACAAAGATGAAACAAAACACTTACATACATTTTTAGCTTTAAAGGGATGAAAGAAACCCAAGGTCCTTATTACATTTTTTATGTTGCCTAGTGATCCTGAGTTGGTGGCTGTCCTCCTACCCCACCCCAGGACAGGGACTGCTAAGGATGCTGATCTCCATGGAGGCAATGATTTATAATCCCAGAAAGGAAAGTGGGCTTTTACAAATTTGAAACTAATTGTCTCCATTGGGCCACAAATAGGTCCAGTTTTTTTAATGGTCTGCATAGTTATTCAGTTACCAGTTTCTTTATTTGGAGATCATGGCTAGTGGCAGGGCTGGGCTCAAGCTGAGTTGAGATACAAACTTCCTAGAAAAGCCCTTTCAGAATGACTCAATTCAATTCAACAAACATGATGGGCTGTCTGCAGGGCCCAGCACTAAAGATGAGTGATATACAAGGTTTGAGTAAGACAGAGTTCTTGCCTTCAGGGAACCTAGAGTCTAGTGGGGGTGACAGCACGTGTATATGTATGACTATAAAATAAAATAATGTATAGAAAGTTCTTGAGAGAAGCACAAATACAAAGTGCTCTTGAGATACACAGGACAAAAAGCCCATTGCTGACTGGAGAGAGCGGAAGGGGCTTCCTGGAGGAGGTGGCATTTAGGTTGGACTTCAGAACAGAGCTTCTTAACCTGGGATACATGAGTTTGTTGAGAGAGAGGGGTGTGTGTGTGTGTGTGTGTGTGTGTGTGTGTGTGTGTGTGTGTGTG